GTCACCACAAAAGGAATGTGATGGATGTGTGCTAAAGGGAAAGGTCTCCAGTACAGAGCACAAAAAGCAACGGTATGGTGACTAATGTCCTCATTCGTAGAAAATTTTTAAAGGGAGAGGGACTATGCATACATTCGCATGCTCAGAACATTAACCTGCTCAGGGTGGAAAACCCCCAGGGTGCCTGTTTAAACTTCTGGGCTTTTTCTGTGACACACTTTTTCATGCTGAGGCAACTTAGGGTGGGCTCTGGGAAGCAGGACTTTTTTAAGTTTCTACAGAGGCAAGACAGAACAGTGCAAAACTCTTTCAAACTGCAAGGGAATATAAAAGCAATTTGATGAATCACAATTACTTTCTTTCTCCCCTGGAAGGAAATAGGACAGAAAACATCCAAGTGAATAGAAAGTAATAAGGACAAAGGTTATTTTGTGAAACTTCTGTTTGAGGTCTTATATATGAATATGAGGACTCACAGTATAAAACAATGAGATTTCTGGTTTTTTGGGTTGTTTTGTTTTGTTTTGTTTTACCGTGAATCACAGTCAAAAAAGTTCACAAAATATGGGGAGTCATTAAGAGGGCTTTAGTCCCTAAGACAGACTGCCTAGATTTTAAGCTTGGCTCCACCACTAAACTGTGCAACTTTGAACAGGTCACGTATGTAAGTTCTCTGTGCCTTGAATTTCCTCATTTGTAAGAGGAGACGATGGTAAGATATACTTCATAGGGTTGTAATACTGTGTGACTGTGCCTCCAAGATATCCACCCCCCAATACGCCCCACCCCCTGGTCCTTACCTGCTCTGTGTGGTGACCTTCCACACTGAATCACCACCACTAGCCCATAAGTCTAAGAAAATATGAAGGAGTGACTTTGTAACTTCTAAGGTTAGGTTATAAAAGGCCCTGCAGTCTCCACCTTGGACTGCTCACTCCTGGCCACAGTGCACCCTGTGTCCTCTCTCAGTCACTCTCAATCATAGGCCCTACAGGCTTAGCTGGGCAGGAAGAACTGGAACCAGGGGCTGAAGCCCAAGACTGGCTCCTAAGTCAAAAGGTGACTTTTTTTTTTTCAATTATAACTTATTATTTACCTGTCTCCTAAAATGGCTGGAGGCGGGTGAAGACTGTAATACTCTTCTGTGATATAGTAGATATATTAAAAACTAGTTTCTAGTGCAAAACTTAAACCAATTAGAAGGAAGACAAAAATATACCACGCACCTGAGAACTATAGCCTCAATTACATGTCAAGAATCTTACCAATACACTATAACTACATTTTACAATTTACATCAAAAACCCTGTGTGATGCCGGGCCTGTAATCCAAGCTACTTAGGAAGCTTAGGCAAGAAGATGACAAGTTCAAGTCCAGCCTGGGAAACTTAGGGAGACTCAGTCTCAAAATAGAATTAAGAAGGGCTGGGAATATAGCTTGGAGATAGAGTACTGGGTTTCATCCCTAGTACCGCCGTCCCCTCCCCCCAAGAAAACCCTTCCATGGTACTACATTTACCCACTCCAGGATGAGGAACACAAAAGAAGGAGCCAGCCAGTGGCCTCAAAAGTCACGTATAGCATATTTAAAAAGCATCGTGAGTGTTTTGTGTTTTTGGAAAGATGTTATGTCTAGAAATCAGCATAACAGAACTCCCAGGACTCCCTCCCTCATTCCACTCACTTGCAAAACTGATCAACTGTTAAGCAGGGGAGGGCCCACAGAGAGAGAAAGCAAAAAAACAAAAAACAAAAACAACAACAACAAAAAAAAACCTTCTGAATTACAAATGTGGAAAATACTTGCAATTCCCTAGTTTCTGAATTAATTTTCTCACTCTTCAACAAAGGGAGATTTTACTGTCCACTCTTTTCTGTTTATAGCCACATAAGTTATCACTCAGACTACAACTTTTCAATGGAAAACACTTCTTAAAAATTATACTGGGTGGAAACTGGTAATGCCTTACTTTAGTTAATAAAATGTACAAGTCCAAATGTTTTATTTGAGCATATTCTTGGAGGATAAAACATCAAGTTTGATGACTTAAATTAGAGATAGGAAAAGAAAAATTCCTAAATAGTGGCCCTTTGATGAAGAGTACTCCTGGGTAGAATTGCTATAAGCACCCTTTCCTAAGCAATTGTCTTTGGGTTTTCAGGATTACAGCCACTCCTTTATACCTCTGGACCGGAGAGCAAGAGCAGTTCTCTGGAATGGACCCCAGTAAAAAGCTGGCCCTGAACATCTGCTAATTCAAAAGGAGTGCAATAATAGCAAGACTCGTGCAGGTTCAAAATGACTTTAGGCTTATTCAATAAGATTTATATGTTTGGAAGCTAGGACTGTCTGGAATGGATAAGAAGAACATGTCTCTAAGGAATTCACTGGTTTCTGGCCCAGACAGCCAAAACCAAAGTGTAGACGGGACAGAAACCAGATGGGTCATCGTACCATCAGATTCCGATCACCTTAGAGGAAATGAGTAAAAACGTCAGCCCCAAGCAAGAGTGACAAACCAAAGCAGACATGATCAGCAAGCTCTCCATCACCAGGGTGTGGGCTGGGACCACAGGGCCAAGAAGAAAAGACAGTGAGGAAAGGTGGAAGGGAGCGAGGGAGACACTGTCTAACTCAGTTCTTCACGAGTGAAAAATTCCTTGCTGGCCCAGGAGAGGCTCTGAGAAACCAGGAGGAAGATGCAAGATTAGAGAAACAGCCAAATTGGAAAGGCCAAGAGGAGACCTTAGCGACCTTGCTCAGCTGCCACAGAGAACTGTGAAGGGAAAGGGGGTCAGAGTCCAGAGAGCCTTGTCCCAACTTAGCCCTGTGCTCTTGACCTTCAGGTGCCACTGGCCGTCTCTGAGCCCAGACCAGGGGATGCAGTAAAGACATGCAGCTTCCAACACCCCTCACCCTGCCCATCAATCATTCAACATTGCAACCTCCCTACCACACAGCCACAGAGCAAGAGAGAAACAATTTCTCTCGTCTTTTCTCCTTTCTAGCCATACCACAAAGAAAACAAACAGCAGACACACCCGGAGAAAACACTTACCACAAGAGTTTGTCTGAATGACCTTCCCCGGGCAGAGTGCTGGCACAGGCTGGGCCTTTACAGGCTGCCCCAACTGAAAAACCAATGCCATGTGCAGAAAGAAACTCCAAAGGCAATTCAGAGAGAAAAGAGATCCTCCATGGGAGGCCAGCTTGGGTACGGCTGCTCTTCTGAGCCTTCCTCAGCAGTTTTCTGAGTTTGCTTGTTGGGACAAATCCTAAGATTGTGAGCTGCCCTGGGTGCACAATGCGTTACGTAACTCCAGCAGCCTGGGAACACTATCGGCTCATCTTGTTAAACCACCCCAAACAAAAATGACGCACCCCAAAATGTGATACCTCTAAGTTGTGGGTAGGGGAGAAGCAGGGATAACAGGGCTTTGTGACCAGCATTCAGTTTTGCCTAAAATTCAAAAGAGAACAAAAAGTCTGTTCATCTCGGAGCTCACAGGGAACTGGGGGTGGAGTGCCTGTACCAGAGGCTGGATACCAGGCAGTGTCCCAGGACTGCAGTGGGCAAAGCCTCGGGGCCACACACACATTCTTAGGGAAATTCAAGGTCTCTCAGAGAATGCTTTATTTCAGTCTATGTCTTCCTTTCAATAAAAACCATCTAGTAAGACTTTATCCTGAGCAGGTTCCGCATCATCTGGCTACCCAGAACCTCAAATGCCAACAGTGCCCATGTTTATGCTTCTGTTTACTGAGTCACTGCCGAACGTGACAGCACTGAGCTGTTCCTCAGCTCTCCTATGCTGCTTTCTACAGATATCCCAGCAAAGGACCTTGAGTTACAATGTCCTGTGGGGTTTGAGGTTTCAGCATTGCATTCTGCCATTTCTTTGCCCTCTGTGGTCACGTTCAGAAAAAGAGAAACTGGTTAAACAGGCTGGTTGTTTCCTGGATTTCATTGGTACAGACTCTGCTAAAATCCCAAGGGTAAGTTCACGTGTTCAGACAAATGAAGATGCAGCTGGGATATCAGCTCCTCCATGAAGCCACCTGGTCCTCCCCAGCCTCTCCCTTCTAAGGCTGCTATAGCCCCTTCCTCAGTGTCCTCCCCTGTGTTTCTGCCTAACACCCAGGAGATCCTCAAAGCCTAACTGGTAATACAGAACAATGAGAAGCTATTGGAAGCAAATGTACATATTTTAAAGTGGTACCAGGGCATTATTTCAAATAGGAAAAAAGCAAAAAGAAGACAAAAATGAAAAATAGAGCAAACTTCTATATGAATGCAACAGGTTTAACTGTAGTTTTGTTACTTGTTGCTGTTCTATACACCATCCCACACCACTTCCATTCCCAGCCCTCTCTTGGCACTAGCTCAAGGGCTTGTCTCAATGTTCCCCTGGGGAAAAGAAACAAGGAAGAGCTCCAGTACAAAGTGTGTGAACAGTAGATGCTACCAGTGGACCGGGAGGTGATTATTCAGTTCCTGGGACACTGGGAAGCTATGACTGACACAAGCGTCTGAAGAATGGATGTCTGTGCAGATCTGGATGGTCACTGCATGTAGAGGAAATACTGCATGTGGTTCTCTGTTTCTGCATCCCACGATGACACTACTATTACACCTACCTCTGTCTGAAGAAACAGCCTCAGGGAAAGAAGAAAGGGGACAAACTACACTAGCATCCATGATGGGCCATGCCCGCTGCCCAGGATTCAGTGTTAATATTTTTAACCATCATGACAGTTCTAGAAGGTGTCATCTATATCTCAGGCAGGTCAGTGACTGACACAAGTCACAGAATGGTTCACTGGCAAAGCAGGTTCTGGATGGGAGACCTCACAGTCCCAAAGCTCAGCCTCTTTTGCATTTTGGTGGTTCCACCCCACATTCCTCCCCTAGACCTGCTCCCCTGGCTGCATCCCTTCCCCAGTCTTCATTGAAGTCTGCCTCTCTCCATCCATTCCTGGCAGGGAAAGGGCCCCATACCGGTAATGGTGCAGGCATCCCGGTACACTCTGTCGCTGGGAGCATCTTCCACAGCTTCGCTTACATAGTGTTCTTCAGGGATGCCCGGGCTGCAGGCTAGGACTGCATGGTTGCACGCCTCCAAAGGGGGCACGGAGCTGGCCAAAGTGTCGTCGTGCGGAGCTGTGGCGTCCAGCTTGGCAGGTTTCAGGGGGAGGTGCCCACTGCCATCGGGGGCCCCGCTGCCGGAGTCTGGGGCAGTCAGGAGGACAGCCCCCGGTAGGTCTGGCACACCAGCAGGGGAGGCTTATAGAGAATCTATGAGACAATCAGAGAGAAGGATATGGTTACTTAGAGTCTATGAATATATCTAGAAAAACAAAATCTTTATAAAGTTAAGATGATATAGGTTCAGATTGCAAATTCTGAAAAAAGTTTCCTATAAGGCATCTCCTATTACATTCTTCAGTTTCAATAAAAGAATTGCAGTGAAGTTCCATTCAACTAAACAGGCTTCAATGCAGACCAAAATACAAAGCACATGGCTTCATTTACTTGTTGACATCTATTTTGAAGAGCTTTAGGAAATGAATAATCTGCACTACAGCTAGAATGTCCTGAAATAAGGACATCGGGGACACCTGGCAACCACAACCTGTGGGAAGAGCTGTGAGCAAGCATTACAAGGAACACAAACTGACACATCACTATAGGAATTATGTATATAATTATGTATACACAAAGCAAGGAGATGCTGTTATTTGCACACTAAATTGCCTAAGACTTGATGCTTCTCTTAAACTCTTCCAAGTATGATACAGTCTCAACTCTCTAAGAACTTTAAGGCATGTGAACCTTCGGCTACAGAGAGAAATGAGGTGATTCCTTTAAAAACCTGATTAAAACTAGATCTTATTCCAAAAAATATATGCAGTTCCAGGAAATTCAGCCCATTCATAGGTTCGGGGAAGCCAAGGAGCCCAGGTTGAGGCCCTTGGGATTAGTAGATCTAGCTCTCTCTAGAGGCCACTACAGCAACCTTGCAATTAGCATCTCCATTTAAAATCTGCCTGGGAATGGATGAATTCTAGATAGGAAAGAGGGGTGGGAGGGAAAAGTAGGGGGCAGAGGATTGCAAGGATGGTGGAATGTGATGGACATCATTATCCAAAGTACATGTATGAAGACACAAATTGGGTGTCAACATACTTTATATACAAACAGAGATATGAAAAATTGTGGTATATATGTGTAATAAGAATTACAATGTAAAAACAGTACATGTATAAAGACATGAATTGGCATGAACATACTTTGTATACAAAGATATGGAAAATTGTGCTTTATGTGTGCAATAAGAATTGTAATGCATTCTGCTGCCATGTATTTAAAAAAATAAAATCAATTAAAAATAAATAAATAAAATCTGCCTGGGATTAAGACAGGGAAAAGGTGGGGAAGAGAGAGTGTACAGCAGCAGCTATTAAGGATAGCACTTGCCCCAGGAAGAACAAACCTGCATGTAGGTGAGTTCGCCACACATTTCAGGAGAGCTCTAGGGCCTTGGAAGCTGATCTTTAATTCAACAAGGGCCCTCCTCTCCTGGCCTTCAATACTGCTTGTGTGTGTGTGTGCACACACAAACACACACCTGGAAAAAATGTTATATGGAAGTATACAATGAATCAGAATGCACTCTGCTGTCATATATACCTAATTAAAATAAGTAAATTAATTTTAAAAATGTTCCATAAGAGCTCAATGAACAAGGCAGGATGCCTACAAAACATTCTTTCATACAAGGGATTTCAAAGTGTGGTCTGAGAACACCTGGGGCTCCTGAGACTGGCTATTTTCTAAGACACTTTCACACATGTAATGGAATTTTCCAGAGACTATATGATGGGTGATGATGCCATTGTTTTGAAGGCTAATTAGTGGAATGTGTGCTTCTGTATTCCTGTGGTTTAAAATCTTAAATTTAACTTCTAATGCATGAATCAGTATAACCCACAGAATTCAATATATACGAATCAACATAACCCACATAAATGAAAGCAGCTGGGAATGTTCAGTAACTTTGAGGGGTCTTGAGACCTCCCCAACAAAAAAGGTTTGCAACCCACTGCTTTATAAAAAATGATGCATTATAGTTCATTTGTGGGGGTGGGGATGTGGTAAAGGGGCTGGGGGTGCAGCTTGGTGGTGGAGTACATAGATAGCATGTGCAAGGCCCTGAGTTCAATCCCCAGCACAAAAATAAAAAGGGAGGTTAGCAGAAATTTCACCTGACATTTCAGTTCTAACAGAAAACATCAGCCCTGAATCTGGGGCATTTTTCCTCAATAAGAGTTTATTTACCAAAGTGTACCAAGAATTCCTCTTATAAATGAATTCAGCCTAAGAGACAAACTTCCTGCCCTCATTGAAATGGACAAATATAAAAATGGAAAGGGGCTAGGGAAGGCTGTGTATTCCTGGTAGAGAGGGAACAGTAACAAGAGAAACTTGGAGCCTCTAGGAACTTTTCTGTAAGATCACATGCAGGTAAAACTGGATCTTCACACCTCCATCAGTAATTCAAATACAAACAAACAGATAAAATGCTGCACAAGGAAGCCCAGGATCACCTAGCATAACCCAAAAGTATCTGGGCACCAGAGGCCTGAGTACAGGTAATTAAAAGAACTCCAGAGAGCCAGGATGGGAATTCCCTAGATGAAGCTAAAGGGACCGCTGCACAATGCCACAGCCTACCTGGTATGGGGTACCAAGGACCTTGCCCCAGGGCTTGTCAAGTTCTTATGCCTGGTCTGGACACTAACTTGTTAAAATCATTAGTGTGTGAAAATCCATTCAGCTGTACTCTTACAATCTACACACTTTTGGGGGAGTGGCGGGCATGGGGTAAGTAAATTTCAACAAAATAGAGAAAAGATTAGTGAATAAAGATATTGAATCTGTGAATTAGCTTCAGAAGTCATCCCTAAGATAAAAATGAAAGTTCCAGAAGAACCCAGAAAAGTCTAAAATCAAAAGGAACAAAGTACAAGACACACTAATGTATCAGTGATTTTCTAGAGCTGAAAACTGCCACCTTTAAATCAAGAGGTTCTACACCAAGATCCAGTTAACCTTCATGAAAAGAAATAGACTTGTAGACATAATCTAGAGAAATTTAAATTCAAAAGATACAGATAAAAATCTAATAAACGTGGGGATAAAAAAAAATCCCTACATCTCTCTGTACCATGCCAGTGGCTGGTAGAAAAAGTTCCTCAGATGTTTAAGTGAAAGACAGTCACGTAAGAGTTCTATGTCCACTTAGGCTACTGTTATACATAAAGACTACAATAGCAAGACATTATGAAATAAACAGAAATGACATGACCCTGACACTCCTGAATTCCAGGCAGGCTGACCACATCTCATGGGCTCTCATTACCAAACAGATCAACAGAAAGAACCCCCAAGTAAGGAAGACATGACAAAGTAAAATTGGCACTGAAATTAAACCAGGAATACTTAAAATTAATGTCTAAGTAATTTATAATCAATTTATAATTAATGCACATGATTCATGTGATTCACAAACCTAAAGCAAACAGCTCAAAAGGAAAATAAGCAAAGGATATGAAAATATCCTGCCCTCACCAAGAAATAATGCCCCCACAGGCCCCCAAACATTTTTAAAAACCTTAATAGTGATTTTAAAAAAAAACTCTATCAGACCAACAAAGATACAAGCCAGGCATGGTGGCACAATCTTGTAATCTCAGGTACTTAGGAGGCTGAGGCAGGAGGATCACGAGTCAACCCTGCCTCAAAAAGGAAAAAAAAAAAATTTATATATACACACACATATACATATATGTATATATGTATACACACATGTAACAATGCTTAATTTGGCATCTGTTTTAGGAAATTCATGGTCTAATGAATTATTGTAGTAGCATGGGGAATAAATTCAGTGGGATAGCCCGGCAAAATGCATGTGGCTCTTTGGCCAAGTGTGGGTCAAAGAAATTTATCGCAGTGGAATGCTACAAAAAATGAACAACAACAGAAGATAGTCATTAATTATGATGCAGCTGGAGAGAAGTCAACTTTCTGAGGAAAGGAAGCTTCAGAGCAGGTATGAATTTAACAACATGGAAAGATATCCTGGGCAGAGAGACAGTAGATCATGAACAGGAACCTCAAAGGGTTTTAAAATGCATTAACGGGGCTTGGGTTGTGGCTCAGAGGTATAGCGCTCGCCTAGCATGTGTGAGGCACTGGGTTCAATCTTCAGCACCACACAAAAATAAATAAACAAAATAAATTTGTTGTGTCCATCTACAACTAAAAATACATATTAAAAATGCATTAACAAATTGAACTTTCACTCATACCTTCTTAAATCTGTACTTAGACATTTTATATGATCCTTACACAGAAATATGAAATACTTTCTTCTTTTGCAAAATGCAATTGCTCTACTGAAAGCTAAGTTTTTATTTAAATTGGCCTGATTTTTTTTTAAAACAAAGGTTCTACAACTTTATGTAGATTTCTTAACAAGGACTTCAACTATACATTATATAACTTCCTCTTTCATCATATACAATATAAGGATGATCATCTAAATCCCGATCACTAACCCTAAACCACTGTTTCTCCTCCTAGTATCTATGTTTTGACACATAGCTGTCATACACTTAACCTAGAAACACATGCAATCAAATGAATATTGCAAGTTAGTATCAGCACTTTCTTAAAAAACGAAGTTTGGGAGACACCATCAAAGTGATGCCTCAAAAGGGAACATAAGCCACAGTTCTGAAGTCCCCAGAACACTTTTCAGCAATTGCAAAGCTATTCAAAAGCTCAGGAGGCCCCTCTTGAAGTGAAAAGACCAAAATCTTTTGCCAACTAAAATCAAGTGGGGAATAACCTACATTTCTATCAATAGAAGAATAGTTATAAATTATGGCATGTCCAAACTTCTGAATTCTATAAAATAAGGTATCAATGTAAGGCATGATTACTTTCATGCCTGGCACTACTAAATTCTCAAAATGAGCATTATCATCAACATTACAATTTGCAGATTCTTAAGAATCAAGCGCATTTCTTGGCTCTACATAACATTCATATGCCAGCACTTCCAAACCTTTCTCTACATAATCCTATTCATGTGGCATTTACTCTGTGGAGTCTGCTTGGGAATAGTCTCTCCATCCTAGATTCAACCTTCATTCTCTGTCCACACATCACCCCTTAACCAGGGCTCATCTCCTGCACAAAACTATGAATTCTCTGAAAGGATGGAC